CACACACACACACACACACACACACACACACACACACACACACACACACACACATAAAATGAAGTTCTCATGTTCTGTATGTTCTCATCATACATCAAAACATGAAACTGTAAAAACAAAAGAACAGGACACGTGTTGATTCCCACACGTGTGGTTTGATTCTCTACATGTGACACCTGCTGGGCGTCTGGAGCTGTGACATGTGAAACTGAAGCGTTCACGATGGTGGGAAGGATTTAAAAGATTCTTTCCTCTTATTTTGTCTTTAATGTAAAATATGAACGTCTGTGTACAAACATTTAGTTCTTCATTTATAACAGTTAACGATACAAATGTTTGAAAAGTTTAAAAATATTTTAATGTTAAATTACATTGATGTACTTATAGTAAGATTTCTATTCACGTCAGTATTAACGACACCTGATTACTCTAATCGCATTGATTGGTGAAATGAAAGACATGATGTCATGATCAAAGGCTCAGTGTGCAGGACTAAGTGATACCTAGTGGTGGAAATGCAGATTGCAACCAACTGAATATATGTAATTTATAATATCTATATTTATATAAATATCTCCGTGTCTTCTGTCCAAACCGGTTTTAATTTAACGCGAAGCTTCACATGCTGGATGTGAAGAGTTGAGGCTGAGTTGTCGTCCCGCTGAGATGCTCCTGAAGTGAAAACAGCTCCGACTGTGTCCAAACACACACACTGTTTTCATTAACCTTCATTCACCTAGCCACACACACACACACACACACACACACACACACACACACACACACACACACGCTGTGACGATGAAGTGTGACTTTCTGGGAAAAGTTACGTCCAAGAAACGTTCACTGTTTTACTCTGATTCTTAATTAATCATTACATTTTGAACAGAAACATATTTATTTTTTACTCGTCTCATTTTAACACACAACATATTTAAAATGTACCTTCTATATTTCTATACAACTGTTTCTAATATAAAACAAATCCAAATGCATAATACAATTGATTTTAAATACATCTGAATATATGAAAAACTAAGTGTTTGTGTTTTCACTTCTTTACGTTGTATATGTTCACATATATTTCACAGTTATATGATTTAAAGCAGAAATAATTCGAAAAATAAAACTACTGAATGATAAAAGATAACAGCAAACAGAACAGCAAAACATTTTTTTTTATTTTTGCCAAAGATGAATTAATTTTCAGAAAACAGTTACTGCTGATTTATTGTTCCAGTGGTTCACAGCTGGAGGTTGGAGGAGGAGCAGCTGTTTCATCACTAACTTGAAAATCAACCTGAATATAAACTGTGTGAATAAGTTGTTTTACTTCATGAGGACTTAAAATATTGCGTCCACATGAAAACAAACCTGTGTCCATCACCTCACAGGTAAATAGAGCAGATCAGCCTCAGAGACACAAAGTCACGTATCAAGTGAATCTTCAAACCGTCGCACTCAGTTTGTCAATCAGTGACAGATGTGTGACTGTGTTGAATAATTCACTGCTACGACCACACACACGGAAACACGAGCAAAAAGAAAACACAGAAACTCGGAAACACAAAAACATTCAAGCATGAAAACATAAAAACACAGAAACACGAAAAAACTAAGACACCATGGAAATTTGTCAGTGGTCATTAACCTGGTTAAACTAGTTAGTTGTCAGTCACCTGGTTAAACCCGTCAGTGGTCATTGACCTGGTTAAACGGGTTGTATAATCTGGTCTCACCGTGGTGCTGATGGCGAGTGGCAGCAGGATGAACGGGCTGCAGACGAGGATGAAGACGCCCTTCAACCTCCAGACCTGCTGCAACATTTTCACCCTTAGAGGAAGAACGGCCATGACTGAAGATGATGATGATGATGATGAAGATGAAGATGATGAAGACCAGTATAAGTTAATGTCAGAGAAGAACTGTGAAGGTGAAAGCCTCTCTCTGTCTGCTGCTCTGTCTCTGTCCAACAGGTTTGTGAAGTGTTCCACAGTCGACACTACATGTAAGTGTGAGTTACACACACACACACACACACACACACACACACACACGCACACACACACACACTCGTCCCTGCAGACGTTATCGGACTGTGCAGAGTAAACAGACAAAAGGAAATCACATGTGTTGATGTCAGGCTGAACTGTTATCGGAACTGATGCAGCCAAACCTCAGGTCTTCAGGACGTCTCTCAATCCTAAATCTGTTTCTATGTAAATACTCAAACGTCCGGAAAGTTTTTTAACTTTCTCCCACATTTTCATTTTCCTAAAATCCAGAACAACGTCAATGATTCTCACTCATCAATATGATGAACTCACTGGAACATCAAACTGAGACTGTTATTTTTATAATAAACTGGTTTATAAACCGTTTCCTAGAATAGATTTAATCATCTGAATAAAGATTAAAGTTCTTTTTATTTTCATCTTAAATTAAATCTCAAAATGCTACCTTTGCTTTTACTTCAGCTTTTATGATTCTGTTGAAGCATGTTAATATTTTATCTTTGTCTTCTATTTTTTAACATCTACACCAGTTTTGTGTTGCATAGATACATCTCTCGATTCCCTCTCTCTCTCCTCCAGTGTTATTCCTCCTCTGGGCCTCTGTTGGTTCTGTCGTTCTCCTGCTGAGTCCAGCTCGTCTGTTCCAGAGAAAACAGTTTGGAGGCTTCAGATAAAAAGATCAAACCATTGTTAGAAATCAGTTTAAAATCAGTTTAGTCTGGTTCCACATTTAATCCAGAGCGAATAAAAACGTAAAAGTTGAATGAATGAATGAACAAGTTCTGACCATAAACTGTAAATAAAGATGGCCGACATGACGGCTCCGAAAAGTGAAGCCGATGCTTCCAATGCTATTTCGCCCCCTTGTGGCTGCCTGGTTTAAGGTCAATCCAAAAAAGCAAATCAAAGTAGACATTGAATAAAAGTTGTCAAAGACGACTTCTGTCATTTAGGAAGTTCTTATCTCACTGATGATTGTTCAAGTGTTCAAGACGTCATCACCACCAGATGGCAGCGTTCACGTCCCAGATGTTTTAGCTTCATTTTCTAAGAAGGTGGAGATGTGTGTTTATTTACAGTCTGTGGTTCTGAATGAGAAGCTGGAGGTCTGTGGTTCGATTCCTGGCTCCTCCAGTCTGGAGTTACTGAATATTATTGTATTATATATATTGTGGCTGTTTCCTACAGTGTGTAAACGTGTGTGTATGTGACTTGCTGTGTAAATAAAGAAAAGTAAATAATTTGGTACAAAGAAGAAAAGTTTGGAAATGATTTTAAAAGTTTTAATGTTCGGTTTAATCACATGCTGGTTCCTGACAGTCCTGTCAACCTATCCTCTGCTGCCACCTGGTGGACAAGTGTAAATATCAGGTGATGTCTGATGAAGAGTTTCTCCTCTGATCAAAGAAACAAAGAAGATTTCCAGATTAAAGCAGAACTTTTAACAACTTATTAAACTACTGTTAACACACATTTAATAAACAGCTGTTCATTGTTCATTTGAATGTAATTGACTTGAGCTCATTTTGTTCACGCAGTAAAAGGTCTGATCACTGACCAGAGTGGACAAATGTTTCAGTTTGTTTGTTTTCAGGATTTCTGGGTATTTCAGTAACGAGGACTTCAGTCCACATTCAGAGTATTTGGGACTAAACTGTTAAAGACTATTTAACTTAAGTTCTAATGAATCAAACTAATTTCAGCTCGTCCTCCACAGCCGAACATTTACATTGTGACACCGAACAGTTTATTTTGACTTTAGTGACCAGAGCCGCTCTGGACGCTCCAGAGTTGATGATTAACCATCAAACCGAGGGGCAGCAGTGAGTCTGTCCACCTTCCAGAGGACGTTGCTCATTTCTGTCTTTACGCTCATTTTATTCATCTCATCTTTTATCTCCTTCTTTTCTCTTTGTCTGTCTCCACATCACACGCAGGTCAGGTGAGTTCATCAGATATTTCATTCATCTCTTCTCAAACAGGTTCCTCAACCGAGCAAAGAAATCCAGGCTGAACATGCAGCAGTTAAAATAATCTGTTTTTTTACAAATCACAGTGTTGAGACGATGATAATTCAACACTTACTGAGCATGAAGCTCATGTTGAAAACAAGTTCATGTAGTTGAGTGCATTCTGTGTATTCAGAATATCACAGCTCGACAAAAACCAGGTTCTAAGGCAGTAACCTTTAGTCTCTGGGTAAATACAGCAGCCATGTCTGAAACCTCAGGTGACTCTGACGACTCGCTGCTACAAACCTTTCCAATAGTGTCAGTAGACATGTTAGCACCAGTTTCTGTCACTTTCAGATGCATTAATTAAGGCTAACATGCTAAAATGTTAGAATACCATCAAGTCTGATATTGATTTGTCACTTCATGTAATAACGTGTTTAATGGTTCAAATCTGTTGATGTTTTTCAGGTTGGTTGTGAAATGAAGCTGTGTCTTCTTCTTCTCTTGTTCTGTCTGTGCTGCCTGGGACTGACTGTAAGAACAACCGCAGTCATTTTATAACTAAAGTTAAACTCTTTCTTTGCTTTTTGAGAAACTGATCCTTGTGTGTTCTTCTGTTTTGAGGATGATCCCAGTCCAGCAGCTCCAGATGTTTCTGGCCCTGTAGATGAAGAGGAGACCGATCACAGCTGCACTGGACATCAGGTGTTCAGCCCTGAGGAACAGAGGGCTCTAGGTAGCGCCATAGAGCGACTGGGTTTACAGTTTCTGGAAAATCTTCCTCTTGGTCCACAGCAGCCGAATGTCATCCTGTCCCCTCTCAGTCTGGCCTTCGCCCTCGCTCAGCTCACCCTGGGTGAGTTTAATTTGACTTTAGAATCTGGAGGAATTCAGTCTCTGACATTCATGATTATAAAATGATTCACAAGCTGCTTCATCACATCCACAACACAGTTGAGACAAGTAAGAGCAGCTCCAATTCAACACACGTGTGCACATGTTGAACACATGTTGAACATATGTTCATTTTAAACAGCGTTTATGTAACTGGACATTTTAGAAGCTCTTTGTTAGATCTGAATTTTTCACTCAGGTTCTCGTAATGAGACAGAGAAGCTGCTACTGAAGAGCCTGAACGCCAACTCTCTACCCTGTTACCATCATATCCTGGGAAGCCTTGTACCTCGTCTCAGCAATACATCACTGGATGTGGCATCACGCATGTACCTGAGACCAGGTTTGTGCTGATGGGCATTGAACTGGTGAAAGAGTTTGAGAACTTTAAAGTCTTTTTATCCACCTCTTCCATTTTCTCTCCCTCCTTCTGTCTCTCAGGATTTGAGGTGAAGCTGTCGTTTGTGTCGGACTCTCTGACCAGGTATCAGCTACAGTCACAACAAGCTAAAGGCTGAGAGGTTCAATAACTTTTCAGGCTCAATCACCATAAGCAACAACAGCTGAATCCTGAACAGCTGCTGAGGTGGATTGTAGTGACATCTGCTGGTCATTTTGGTAACAGCATGAAAACATAGATCAGCTCATAAAATGGCAGTGGTGAGATGAAATGACTGATGCTGGACGAAGTATTTTCATGTTAACAGGAATTCACCTTCGCAACAAGCAGTAATATCAAATGTTTGTCTCTGTTTTTTACGGAAGTAAAAAGGTGATTTGTTTTGCAGGTACCGATCAAAGCCGGTTCCTCTGGTCTCTGTAGACGAGGTCAACCAATGGGTGGAAAACGCCACCAATGGTCACATCCCTAACTTTCTGGAGAGTATTCCACATGACGTGGTGCTCATGCTCATAAATGCTGTTTATTTCAAAGGTGATCCAATCAGAAAACCTCAGTGCTTGATGAACTCATTTTCATATTTCCAGCAGTTTGTGTGTGAACACAATACATTTGTGCTTTTGTCCACCTCCAGAAGTTCAGGGGTTTTTGGGCAGTGTTCAGGACATTATCAGGACTCTGTTTGTCTTCAGGTTTATTTCAAGCTTTAGTTGTTCAGCTGCCTTTAGCTCCTGTGAAGAAAACATCAGCTACTTGACTTGCAGGACAATGGTTCCTCTTCTATGCCACTATCCGGGCCCCTCGTGTCCTTCTTACCACAAACAAAGCTCTTTTCAGAGAATCCCTTAGTGCTGCTGGTGCAGAGACATTTGATTTGACCTTTAAATGATACCAAGGCATTCTTGAAGCACTGACTCCTGTTAGTGTGTCCGCTGTCCTGCAGACTAACATCTTCTCAAACCCTTTGAAACTGGGTTTCATGTCAAAACCCATGACATAACAAGAGTTAAAGTACAAATGGTATGAAATCTTGCTTTATAGCAGAGTAGTCTGTTACAATCTTTATAATCATCATTCACAAATAAGATGCTAAGTCTGTACAAGTGCCACTTTAATAGGAGCAGAACCAACACTTCAGTCTTTTATAATCTGTCCACGCACAAGGTGATTGAATCCTGGTCCTCTCTGTCCAACAGGTGAATGGCAGACTCGATTTGACCCCCACGTGACCTCAAAGGGAGTTTTCTATCTGGATGGCCAGAACTCTGTGTCAGTGGACATGATGAAGTCTACTCAGTATCCTCTCCGCCTCCTCGATGATCCAGAGCTGGAAGCACAAGTAATACACACATGATGCAGTATCTTAGGTGGAGTCGAGAGTTCAAGGTTTTTCTACATCATACAGTTTTTCTCAGAGATTTCTTACATTAGCAAACCAGCTTCTGTGAATGGATGTTATTCTTCTCTGTGATCTGGTGGGTTGAATCAGGACGCTCTAGTCTTTCAGTCATCTGCCCAAAGTCCAGACAGGAAAATCGTTAGGAAAAAGTATTTTTTCTCCCGTGCAGGTTGCCAGTTTTCCCTTCAAGGGAAATACCAGCTTCTTGATCGTCCTGCCTTTGCCAGGGAGAGAAAACATGTCATCAGTGCTTCCCAGACTGAATATCTCTGACCTCTATAGACGTCTACCTCAGGAGAAAACAATGCAGGTCAACTTACCGAAGGTGAAGCTGCATTACCACCATGAGCTCCAGGAGGCGCTGACCAAAATGGGTGAGAATTTTATCTCCTCTGAGCCAGAAGAAACAAGACTGAAAACAAGAGCTGTCACAAATAAATGACCCAGACTCCATCAAACTCTTTCTTCAGCAGTTTTTCCTGCAGTTTCTTGTTGTTTCCGGTCTGTAACTCAGTTTCTCTCTGTCAGGCCTCGGCTCTCTGTTTTCAGGGCCCAACCTCTCTGGGATTTCCGACCTGCCTCTGAAGGTGTCGGGTGTCCTCCATGCCAGCACAGTCGAACTAAGTGAGGAAGGTGTGGAGGCGTCCGCCACCACGGCTGTGACCTCCGTGCGCTCCGTCTCCATCTTCTCCGTCAACTCCCCCTTCCTCTTCGCCCTCGTCGATGATGCCTCCCTGGTCCCGCTCTTCATGGGCATTGTCACAAACCCCTCCCCCAACAAAGACGCCATGCTCAATGATGATCCCCACAGCAACAGCACCATGAGCGACCAGCCTGTGATGGACAATGTCAGGGAAAGAGACACAAATAGCAAACACAGCAACGGGTCACACAGGAAGTTACAGTCAGCGGAAGGCAGCAGGATGCAGCCATGCAGCACCCTTCATCGTGAGATGGAGCCGCTGCAGAGTGTAAATGGACTGGAGGGCACAGACATGAAACCTTCTCCAAACCAGTCGACTCTGCAACCAACTGAAGTTTGAAATATTAGTCGTCTCGACATTTTGTTGTGTTTCTTGCTGAGAGTTTGATACTCAGTCTGATAGAAACCTCTGTATATGAAGCAACTAGTTAGTAAAACTTAGCATAAAGACTAGAACTCTTTGTTTATTCTCATTTAATCTCTGCAAGAAAAAAATCTAAATCATTTCCCAAATTTTTGATGTTTTGTTTAGTAAATTCAGAAGTGCAGCAGATCACCTTGGTGCTGTGATGTTAAAGGTGCATTGTGTTTTCAATACAAATGCAGCACAATTTACTGTGATCAGCAAGTTTTATATGAAAACTGTCAACAATTTGAATCAGTACAAACTCTGGTTTACCCCAAAAAACACAGTTCCTTCCAACAAGTCATGTATTTTAACTTCAGTCCCAAATAAAGACGTTGACACACGTGAGTCAAGTTGATGACGACTTTAACCTCAAAATTAAACCCACTTTAATTCCCCCTACAGATTTCTACTGGCTTCCCTGAGCCCTTCAACGGTCAGGGGCCCTTAAACTTCCTGAGGTAGCGTCCTGATGTCTAAATGAAGTGGACCCTTTGCGAGGTGTAGTCTAAGGTGGTGTCAGTAGGAGGCTTCAGGTGTAGGTTCATGTCCAACATGGGTTCCACTGGACCTTCAGAGTTTGAGGGATCATGACTGTGGTTCAGTGGCTGATGAGATGGTCCTCACCGGGTTTCAGGTGAGTTATTGGACGGTTCAGGGGTCAAGTGGTTTCTTTGGCTCTAAGAGGAGACCAGGGATCCTTTAGGTTGTTACATGACACATGTTCCTGGAGTCCATAAGGATTCATCTCATATATAACGTGTTATTAGAGGTTCTTATATGTTTTGAAGGAGGCTCCAGGCAAGAGGGGCCCTATATAGAACTGAACCTCCAAAATGGTGAAGCTTTGGGCAGAAATCCAGTGGCATGGGGCTTCACTATAAGTGGTTTCTGACTTCTTCTTGAGGTGGTTCCAGGTTCTGGGGTTCAGAGGAGGAGTTCCAGGTTCAGGTTCTGGTTCTGACTTGAAATGTGTTTGTAGCTTCACCAACAGGATCATTTCATTTGAAATAAAACAAAAAATCGTCTGAGAGGTTTCACATGAAAAATCATCACGTGGTTAAAGATGTGAGGAGCTCGCGTGGCTCACTTTTGCTGAGAGAAGATTCTGGAACTGAATCTGGAAACTTTCATTCATCTGGAACCTGCAGCTTCTCCTCTGCCTGCGCGGCCCCGGCGCTCGCCCCCGCTGCGGGTGCAGATGCAGGAGCAACGCGTGGACGCGCCTGCAGAGAAACAGTCGGAGCGACGTTGATCCGGATCAGACGTGAGCTGATCTGAGCTGAGCTGATCTGATCTGAGCTGAGCTGAGGTGAGTGGTGACTTTACAGCTGACTTCAGAGATGATCTGATCAGAAACAACAGATTTATTTCACCGGAGTTTCTGAACAACTCATCAGTTCTTTTAAAAACCGGATCAGAACCAGGACACACGCGTCTGTGGTCGGATCAGTTTGTAATTCAGGAACAAGAATAAAAATAAGTATTTAACTTTCATCTTATCTCACTTCATCTATAAATGGATCAACTGAGGTTTCTCAGTGTGGATCTGGTGTGACTCTGGTTTTTAACTGTTTCTGGAAACATTCAGATTCTCAACATTATTCATCTCGAGTTTTTACATCTGTGTAGTTTCTATGGATTTACTGCAAACTGTCCGTTAAACCAGGAGTTTCTCATCAGTGTGTGTGTGTATGTGAGTGTGCACGTTTTTGTGCGTGTGTGTGTGTATCTGTTTGTTTCTGTGTGTGTGTGTGTGTGCATGCGTGTGTATGTGTGTGTGCGTGCGCGCGCGCGCGCGTGCGTGTGCGTGTGTGTGTGTGTGTACATGCGGTCTGAGGTCCAGATGACAGACTTTTGTTTCTGTAACCATGACAACCAGCTCCAGATGTTGCAGAGGAACAAAGGAACTTTGTGCGTCAGAGCTTTTGTTTGAAACTTGTTTGTGTCCGAATGAAAATGTTGAGCTTGAGGAATGAGATCACTTTTCTCTGCTCAGATGTTCAGAAGGTTTTTGGATGATGGATTATTTGGAGGTTTGAGGTTTGGGAGCTGGATCCTGTGGGTTTTCACTGTGATTATACAAAACACTGAGGGAGACATTGGTCGTCTTTGTCTCTGACACTGTCTCAGTGTCTCCACATATTCTCCTCCAGGTTTTCTCTTTGCCTGAGATTCATTGTGTTTCCTGCAGTGAGATTGTGACACGTCTTCACCCTCATGTGTTTGTGTTGCAGGATGAAGACAACAACATTCCTGCTGATGTGTGGAGTCGTCCTGAGCTTCAGTCAGGCTCAGGTATCACATCAGCTGTTTCTGATTTCTCACACAGGAAGTTACTGTTGTGACGTGATTGTTGTGTAACACACAAATACACCAACATCAAACACACCCAGTATATTTCAGTAATTACAGTGAAAGTGTCCGACGACTCTTCTCTGTCCTGTTTCCAGTCGGAGGGCGAGGAGACGACTGTGGAGGAGGAGCATGTCGAGCTCTTCACCACACCAACTACGAGGTTGGCAGCCGCCACCTCCGACTTTGGCTACAACCTGTTCCGATCTCTGGCGAGTCGCGACACCACGACCAACGTCTTCCTGGCCCCCATCAGTGTGTCTGCGGCGCTGACCCAACTGTCCATGGGTGAAGGCACAAACTCAACACAAACTAAAAACATTCACAGAAATTGAGTTCAGGTAAAGACTCCATCGTCATCAGGTGGTCGTCACTTTGTTTTCCTACATTTGACGGAAAATTACACATAGACACAGAGGAACTGATGTTTTTAATGATTTCTGCTCGAGCTGAAGTTTCCATCTGAACTCAACCTGGTCTGACAAAAGTTCAGAGTCCTGCACCGAGGCTGAGCTCAGAATCTTCTCCATCAGAAACTGTTTAAGAAAATGATTTCCAATAAACTGTTTCCATGGAGTTTTTCCTTGAGGGCGACACGTTGCATAAAAATGTTGGAGGAGGAGAAAGGTTTTGATTCACAACAGAATGTTTCTGCATGATGGAAAAACCTCAAACCCATGAACAGTTTCATGAATAAGAAGTCATTTCATTATTTGGCTGTAGAATCATTCTCTCCAAGTAGAAAACATTTAAATAATGTTAATAAACCTCGTTCTGACAAAGCTGAGAATTATTGTGGCTGTAAAAGAGAAAACTGCCTCAAAGCCTGTGAACTGCTCCAAGATGGAGACAAGAGACAAGGGATCATATTTCTCTTAACATAAAACAAATGTGAATCCTCTGGTTCAGTGATACTGTTGCTGAATCTGTCTAAAGTATGAAGTTGCTCATGTCAGGGTCTTTAAACTTAATGTTCTTCCACCGATAAAGGAAACTGTTCACGTGAGAATCTGACATGTCTCCTGCAGGAGGGTCAGAGCTGGCTGAGCGGCAGCTGTTCAGGGCTCTGAGGTTTCACACCCTGCAGGACCCTCAGCTCCACAACACCCTGAAGGACCTGTTGGCCTCCCTCCGCTCACCTGGGAAAGGCCTGAGCATCGCTGCTCGTCTCTACCTGGCTCGACGTGAGTTCACCTGGAACATGTGATAACTGTTAAATGTGTTTTCAGATAGGGGGGTCAACTGGTTGAACAGATCAGGTCTCTTCTTCTTCTTCGTTTGGTTTATTGGTGGATGGCAACCAACGTCAAGGTGTACTGCCCCCTGGAGGTACTGTAATACCAGGTATAGTGCAGCTGCAGTTTTTGAGCAGCAAGCAAGTGATTTCCAGGAAAAGAAATATACTTTAAAGAAGCAGTATCAGACGGGTACATTGATTTGGGTACTCTACATTTTTGGCAGCATCAGGTATCGGTTTTGAAACCTTTTTAACAACAAGGTGTTGAATTAATATGCCCTCATGGAAATCTCTTTTGGTTGTGTTGCTGTGTTTAGGACTTCGTCTGAACCAGGAGTTCTTGGCACTGGTGGAGCAGCAGTATGGAGTTCGTCCAAAGGCATTGCCGGTTGGAGGCAAAGATTTGAAAGAAATCAACGACTGGGTGTCTCAGGAGACCGGCGGGAAGGTGCAGCGCTTCCTGGCCAAACCCTCCTCTCGAAACCCTTCAGTGAACACTGTGAGCGCCGCCTACTTTAAAGGTGCGTCGGGAGGATTTCAAACTCAACATCTTTACATCGACAGTTTGATGCCGGTCACATGTGACGACACAGTTTTCTGTTAACAGGGAGGTGGGTCACTCGCTTCAGTAACAGTGGAGTCATGGAGGAGTTTCAGGTGGACGGCGCGGCACCTGTTCGCGTTCCCATGATGCAGCAGGACAACTATCCTGTGAAGATGGGAGCCGACTCAGACTTGAGCTGCACGGTGAGTGTTTTCTACTTCTTCCATTTCATTTCTGAAATTTGTCCTGAACAATGTTTATTTTGCTCGTCCACCAGATTGCTCAGATCCAGATGCAGAATGACGTTAGCATGTTCATCTTCCTGCCGGACGAGGTTATGTCCAACATGACACTGCTGGAGGAGAGTCTGACCGCTGAGTTTGTTCAGGACCTTTCCATGACACTGCTCCCAGCCCAGGTGTCCCTCACTCTGCCTACCCTGAGGCTCAGCTACTCCACAGACCTGCTGCCACTGCTCAGCGACCTGGGTGAGTCCAGAACCAGGTCCAGGTCTGACTTTACCACAATAATAAATATGGAAATGATTTGAATGATTTGAATACCAACAAGTTATGAGGTTCAGTTTTGTCAGGAGCTACTTAAATGTATTTTCTTTGTGTTTCTACTCCACAACAAAATACATTTCTTGGTTTGAAGATCTGAATGTTTGTAAAAACAAAAAGGAGTCAAACAGAGAAACCCTGATTCAAAACAATACTAATAAAGTGAGTCATCAGGTCAGATAGAGACAAACAGGCGGGAGCAGAAGAAACCATGAGTGTAAACATGAGGAAAAGTCTGGACAGGAAGTACAATGACACAAGAGTTAAGAACAACAACATAAAACAGGAAACAGATACTGAAACAGTAACTGGATGTTAACGTTACAGAGTCTTCATAATTCAAACATTACCTCCAGAGATACAGACGCTCTGATTCATGACAACTCAGGATCTTTTCAATTGTGTCCGTCCCTCCCTCGTCCCCCTCCCTGTAGGCCTCACTGATTGGATGGAGAACCCGCAGCTGGAGAAGATCTCAACCCAGGCTGCCAAGCTCACCAGCGTCAATCACAAGGTCATCATGGAGACAGCACCTGAAGGTGACCAGTACCCCGGCGCCATGTCAACACCCAACCACCTGTCATACCGGGTGGACCGCCCCTTCCTCTACCTGATCCGGGACGAAGCATCGGGGGCGCTGCT